TTTAATATCTATACCTGGTTACACTACATCATCATCAACTCCTTCAATCATTTTGGCTTCAGCTTGATAGCACCTGGTTAGTTCAACCTCTCTTTTGCAGCAATGTCTGCAGTCATTTTTGCAGGATCTTCGGCTCAGTCCATCGGCATTTCCAAGAGATTTTCATTCTCTGTCTTCAATATCATAATTATACTGGTCTATTTTTCCGATCCAACGTGCCAGTTGTCCCTCTGGGTTCTTTAATGATCTTAACCAGCGTAATGCAGCATGGTCTGTCCTGATGGTAAACCTGGCGCCATAGAGGTAAAGATGGAAATATGTTAGACTCTTTACTATAGCAAGGAGTTCCCTCCGTGTAGTTCCTCTCTGGTCTACTAGAACCCTACTGAAGTAGGCCACGATATGTTCGTTTTCACCAACTTTCTGAGACAACGCTCTCCCAATTCCGACAGCATGTACGGCAGTGAGGGATTTGGAAGCTTTAAAAATGGAGCTGAGGCCAATTTGTTTTTCAATGTCTTGAAAGAATGCTGGCAAGAAACTGTCCATTCAAACTTTTAGCCTTTTTTTTTGTTAAATCATGTAGTGGAGCAGCTATAGTTGCAAAGTCTTTCACAAACTTCCGGTAATAGGTACAGAGTCCCAAGGAACTTCTTAGCTCTCCCACATTGTCTGGCATTGGCCAATCACACACTGTTTTCATCTTGTTAGGATCAGTTCGCACACCATGCTCACTTACAATGTGACCTAAGTAAAGCACCTTTTTCTGGAACAAGTGGCATTTCTTGGGATTGAGTTTGAGGTTTGCTGCTTTCAAATACTTGAATACTTCCTCTAGCCGGGACATTTTCTCATCAAACGTTGTTGCAAACACAATGACATCATCAAGGTACACTAGGGCTGTCCTCCATTGTAGGCCTTCCAGTACTCTTTCCATCAGCCTCACAAATGTTGCTGGAGCATTGCTAAGCCCGAATGGCATCACACGGTATTGCCAGTGATCTTGGCCATAACTAAATCCAGTCTTAGGTTTATCTGCTTCAGTCATTTTCACTTGATGGAAACCCGACTTTAAGTCTAGAGTTGAAAACCACCTGGCTCCACTTAGGGCATCAATTCTTGGCAGTGGGTATGAGTCCTTTTCGGTTAAACGGTTAAGAGCCCTGAAGTCCACAAAGCAACTGGTGAACCATGGATACTTTATGCTAGTTGTAGAGATGATAAGCTGGTGTACCATGGATACTTTATGCTAGTTGTACTAACGATAAACTGATGAAACATGGACACTTTATGCTAGTTGTACTAATGATAAACTGATGAAACATGGACACTTTATGCTAGTTGTACTAATGATAAACTGGTAGAACACAGATACTTTATGCTAGTTGCACTAATGATGAGCTGGTGGACCATGGATACTTTATGCTAGTTTTACTAATGGTAAACTGATGAAACATGGATACTTTATGCTAGTTGAACTAATGATAAGCTGGTTGAATGTGGATACTTTATGCTAGTTGTACTAATGATAAATTCGTGAAACATGGATACTTTATTTTAGTT